ACCGAGCAAAATGTGGCTGTAATGGCAAGAGGGAAATCTCTTGGAAATTCCGTAAAAATATCTTTTAACAAGATGGTGTTTCCTGCCAAATAGCACTCACTCAACTAAGTGGGCCCATACACGATACCGATTGACGGTGTGTGTTATTGTGGAGTGATTGTACCATATTTTCATAAATTAAAGTAATACTAGTAATTTTTAGAAAAAAAAAACGACTTAAAAAAATATATAGATATATATATATTTCATGATCCAATGATCGGATCTAAACCAGATTAGTATGGGACCACCTCTGCGACACTACCTTTCCGATGCAAAATTAAAGAAATCGGTTGACGTGGTCCAAAGTTATGCGGTAACATACAAAAAAAAAAAATAAGATATTCCGACGAACTGATAACCTCCTCCTTTTTTGGAAGTCGGTTAAAAAGTACGTCGACGATTATGAAGAGCCGAATTTAAATGGAAGCAAAATGAAATACGAAAATTTACTCAAATTGAAAAAAAACGGTCTGAAAGTCTTAAAGTTCTCTTTGTTTTTTGATGTTGAGATATGTCAGAACAAACTTAATTAAGTAGTATAGACACTTTTTTCATACATAGATTGCTTGAAATTCCGCGGCGACATTAGGGTTCCCCAGACCGGCTAGCGTTTACGAACGGGTTAAAGTTGTGATCCATAGCGAAATTTGAAAATATCGTTCTAATCGATAGTACGGACGACGTTAAGAGTTATTATAGAGTCGAAACAAAGTATGTAGTGTGCGTTGGTTCTTAAAAATCACTCCGCCACTTACCAACTGCTGAATAATTATTAGGGGCTGTCCATATTATTTCAGGTTTCTGACCAACATAAAAAAATAACGTTTTTTTAATAGCGGTCACCTCTCGGCAGGCAATGGCAAAACCTCAGTATTCAGCCATGAAAAACAGCTTCTAATAAAAATACAATCGGCATTCGGAGTCGGCGTAAGAGTGTAGGTCTAATGTAAATGTATGCATGTTTGAGACAACCCACTGGGAAAATAGGTAAGCACCTTACGAGGTAAGCCATGTTTTCTTTCAGTTTTTAGTACCAAAATTGTCATCATGGCCAATGTCATCTACTAGTAAAGCA